CTGAAAATAGATGATAAAATTCCGGCAGAATCCGGTATTTTTGAGAAAAATCCGATAAAAATTTCTATATTCCGGATTTTTACGGCAAATTTCATGGAATCTGGAAAAAATATCCGGTAAAAATTTTTTTGAAAAATATTAATAATATTGATTTTATAAATTAGGTAAAATTCAATTAAATAATCCTAATAATCCATTATTTATTTATTAGCAACTCATTTTACCAAAACTTTTTTAAATTGCAATCATCAAAATTTATTTACCAAAATCATTTATATACAGTATTTTAATCGGGATATTGTTAATGATCAACATATCGATTTATATTTGTCGTTTGAATTATGTTGTAATACATTCTTTCTTTGTCAATAATTCGAGATGTCAAATCAGAAAAGAGGAGTATATGAAGAAGGAACGGTAGTTATTAATCCTGATAGAATCATTAATAGATATTTAATTATAAAATTTTAACAGTTATTTCTACCTTATAAAGCAAGACACAAGTTTCCGTCGAACATGGGATAAAGAAGAATTTAAACGTAGGGCTCGTGAAAGATCGCGAATAGAACGTGAAAAAGAGGAGGAAGAAGATCGTAAACGTAAAGGTTTAAAACCCAAGAATATTGATAATTCTGAAGCTGAACCTGCACGAGAGCTATTAAGAGCTCGTACGGAGAAAGTTGTTTTAGATGCGAACTTGAATAAAGTTCAGGTAGTGCAATCTACAAATATCGCTTCAAAACAACCTGGTTTTTACTGTAAAATATGTGATTGTGTTGTTAAAGACAGCGTAAATTTTCTTGATCATATCAATGGCAAAAAACGCAAGTATATATATATATATGTTTGTGTGAACGAATTTACTTGTAAATTGATAAGTAAGAATTAATTTTATTTTTTTAATTACACTATTAGATCAACGAGCTCTTGGTATGTCTATGAAAGTTGAAAGAAGCACATTAGATCAAGTCAAGAATAGATTAGAAAATTTGAAAAAGAAGCAAGAACCACAAGAATACGGTTACGAATTATTATAATTATATCTCTTTTGTTTGTAAAACGTAATTGATCTTAATTGAATATTATTGATTCGATCCTTATTAATACAGATTTCGACGCACGAGTTGAACAATTACAAAAACAAGAGGAAGAAGAAAAGAGGCGAAGGAAAGAACGTAAAAAAGCCAAGAAAAGAGGTGAATCAAGTCAAAATACTGTCAAGGAGGAAGATAGTCCGGAAGATGAAGTCAATCCCGAGATGGCAAAGTTTATGGGGTATCATCAGTTGTTTTATTTCGTTTATAAAAATTGAGGTTTTTTTCCGCTATTTCGGTGTTAATTAAATTTGTTCTATTACAGATTTGTTGGTTTTGGCTCTACAAAATCTTGAAGGTCTTACTACGCACTATTAACAGACAAGGTTTGTTCATTAATTCTACATAGATATTTTTATATTAATCCTTAAATTAATTTCTTAATAATTGACCTTTGTATTTGCATAAAATAAATAAAATATCTCTAATATATGAAAAGGTTGCTCGATTCAAATTCTTTTTTAGGAAATTGTATTAAAACAAATAGAAACTACGTAAGTAATATGAGTTTGATGTATATTAATATTAACTTTTATTATTTAGAGTCTTTAAAATCATGGACGTATTTACAATTACATCCACAAATGGGTTAAATTATGATAATTAGTAACAGGTTAATTGATGAAACAATACGTCCATGATATCTTATTAATATAGATTAGAAAGGTAAGTTAAATAAAATAGTATAAGTCTAAATTTCATTACCTATAATAAATATTATCAAAATAAAGTGATCGGAAATGAGACGTATCTTTATTGGCTGAAATTTTATCAATAAATTCTTGAATATTTTTCATTGGAGAAATATTGTGCTTACAAGTTAACTCGTAACAAGTATAACCTCTTTAAAATTCTTAGCAAGAAACAATGCCCATTTTACCGACTACCTCACCACGTTCTTCATTTCACTCTGATAGTCAACATAAAAGAAGACGATCAACTTATTGGTCGGCTTCCATCCCATTGTTTTTACGACGTTTATTTAGATTTCCACAAATGGTATTTACGAGTATTTTTACGCTTTGATTATAACGATTTTGCTTTATGTTTTGTTGAACTGTAATATGCTCATTGTGATATACATAGGATTTTGAATTTGCATTATGGCAAATGCTTTATTTATGTATAGCTCCAAGAAGAGTGTAAGCATAGTATTTCATAGATCTTTATGCTGTTTTGCTAATCACACGTTAACATTTAATTTATTCTAATAGGTATCGAAATATTTATTATCATAAACGTAAGAACGTTAAAATTTATTCAAGAATCCGATTTGATCTATTTCATTAAAATATTTGATTTTAAATTATTAGAAACTAAAAATCAATGGGCAAGGGATGACCCAGCTTTTGTCGTGATATTATCATTTTTCTTGGGGGGTATATAATTTACTTATTTTTTTTCAATTATACTTATATAATTAGATATTATCCTCATATTATTTGTTTATTTAGTATCAGCGATTGCATGGGGATTAGTATATGGACATGGGCTGATAGGGATTCTTAAAATGATTTTATTTATGGTATTTGTAGATTTTGTAGTAGTTGGGATGATAATCTCTACAATTTGTTGGTATGTTAAATAACTTAACAATATTTTTTGTCTTTCTTTTTTTTCTTTTTTTTTTTTTTTTTTAAAAAATATATATATATATATATATATAGAATCTAATAATATATTTCTTTACGATTAAGGGTATTTGCGAATAGATTTTTAACACATAGACATACAATTCATGCAGTTGAGCAAACAGTAGAATGGGCCTATGCATTTGATGTACATTGTAATTCATTTTTTCCTTTATTCCTAATATTATACGTAGCTCAATTTTTTTTAATGAGAGTTTTGATAAAAGATATTTGGATTTGCTTATTTCTTGGAAATACTATGTATTTAATTGCAATAGGGTATTATTGTTATATTACTTTCTTAGGTTATAATGGTAAGTTATTTTTTTTAAAAACACTTGTCATCTTTTAATATATATAAGAAAACATTAACTTGTTTTATTTAATGTATAGCATTACCATTCCTTTTACATACTGAAATGTTTTTATATCCAGTTGCTTTATTCTTAATTGTCTATGTTATCTCATTATTTGGTTTTCATATTAGTGCTAATGTATTACAATTATATTTCGGTAGGTGATCAATACCTCCAAAACTTTTTCTTTTCCTTTTGTATAAAGTAATTTAGTAGAGATGAGAAAGATCGAGTTTAGTATTTTTGATTTAATTAATTTTATAAAAAAAAAATTTACGTTAATAGAATTCTTAATAGTATATATTTAGTTTGAATAATTAATATATTAATTTATTAAAAAAAAAAAGTTAGAAATTTTTATTAAAAAACATTAGTGTTATATTTCTTTTAAAATATGTAAATATTTTTTAATAAATCAAAATACTAAATTATTTATTTAAAGGAACATTTAATAATGCTTTGATAAATAAAATAAAATTTAATTGAGTATATTTATCAGGTCTAGAATTTTCTAAGTAATATTACCATTTAATAATAATAATAATAATAATAATAATAATAATAATAATAAAGCACTTGTTTAAGTAGTCTATTATTATTTGTAATAATTAGTAGTAATAAATTTTTGATAAAAATTTATGGTTTTAATCTTTTGGTAAACCACATATTTCACAACTACTAATACTACTTTGATTAACAAAGGTACAATGTCTACAAGCCCATATTGATGAGCTTCTACTGCCACCAATTCCTATATCTGATTCTTGTCTACCAAGATTTCTTCCATTCGGAATTGGTGAATGATCTAACAACAAAAGAGAGATGATTTACTCAATTTCACACATATAAAAGCAAAGCTTAGATTAAAAGAAATGCTTACCATTTTCTCTCATAATAGCAACCAATGTTTGCCAACCTGAACTCTGAGCCAATTGGTTTGCATCCTTTTCCTCATGAGAAGTTGCTAACCTTGCTAACGCTGAGAATTCATCCTATATATGATATAATCGTAGTAAATAAAAGGCATTTATATCTTTTAGCGTCAATAAAAAACTCACCTCATCTAATGTTTGAGTTCCTTTAACAAAAGTTAACAGTTGGAAATCTGATACGGAATTAACGTGCACATTTCCGCTATCTTTAAGCCCAAGATGACGAAATAATGTCGTATAATCCTGGGCTGGGAAACTTCCATGTCGATTTGCAATAGGAAATTGATCTTCTGAGGTAAAAAGCGGTGTAGGATTGGACGGGAAACCATCTGTAACCTGAATAGAAACATTATATTTAAATTTATATAAAAATAATCGTAACAGATAAACTTAATTGAACTTACTTTAACTAACAAATAATCTACGGGAAAACATGGCTTCGCGCTTTCTTGTACATTAACACCATATTCATTTTTATATTTATAAAATACTTCAGAAACATATCTTTCTGAAGTGCTTTCTTTAACTCTCATTATGCCTGGTTCCACACTTGCTTCAATTATATCAGCAGAAACCATAGATGCACATGTATTTGATACTTGATATGCATTGACATAAATACCTCCATCTTCATTGCCACTTACAACGCAGGTTATGAACCTGCTACCAAACTTTCCTGAAGCACTCCATTTTGTGAATAATGGATTCTTATTCTGCATGGCTGCAGTGAAACAACATTCTTGAGAAGAAAGAAAATATGAATCGATATGTCGTTTATAAATTACCTTGCCTTGACCTGTACCGTCGTCAGTAAGATCAGTATATATCATTCCAACCTATCATTTCCAAATAAACTGTTATTATTGGAAGGAAATGCAAGACAAACATGCATTATTTTCAAGTATACCTTAACTAGACCACAAGTAGCTGCTACTTCATCTACCAATTGTTCATCGTTCCAAGGAAGAGTGAGGGTCAAGCCGTCTACTTCATCCACTTGAGGTGGTTCGTAGATTGCTTCAACAACTGCTTTGACTCCTAAGGGAACTTCAGGATGAGGTTCGTATCGACCATACAAATAACCGAACCGTTGCAAACCAGTGTTTCGCCAAAAACGAATAAAATTCTCGACCAATGTTGGCACAGAAAATTCTACGTGATCTACCATGCGATATTGCTAAAGCAACGAACATGTTATGTTAGAAGGGATTAATAAATTATAGTTGTAATACAAAATTTAGCTCTTACCTGAAGTGCTAGAGTAACAGCACTTGGTTGACATTTTGTACATATGCCTTCTGGCCATGGCGCATGTCCACCTAAACAATGCGCTTTCACCTGAAAATCTTGTTCTTCTAACGGAGGAATAAATTTGCCATTCGATTGCTTATTAGATTTGTTGACACTTTTCAAATAAGCATGAAACGATATATGTTTAATTCCTTTTTCGGCAAGGTAACTTTTGTCGTAAGGCTAATTACAAAGAAAGGTATTGTCAATAAAAATTTACTACACATAAATTATAACATAATAGACATATTACCTCCAAAGGCATACAATAATCACACATGCCATTTGCAGCGTGTTTACAGCTATAAAGTTAGTAAATTATAATAAACATCAGTTAACGTATACTTTGACGCGTTATATAATTTTTTCACAACATACAATTTCGGATCTTTATTTCGTTTAATCAAACCATCTTGTTTATCTAATAAATCATCCACTGGATCTTGTTTCACATTTAATGGAGCTGGTGTTGTTGTCTTCGTTACAACAGACTCTGTTTGCATCGTATTTGATCCATCGGTTTCTGGCGTAGGCTGAACGAACGTGACATATAATAGATCACCATGACTTTAAGCATTGAAATGATTCGTGAGAAATTAATACATATATTTGAAATGAAAACAAAAAGATCGAGAAGGCTACACTTTACTTAATCCTTAGTTCAGAAATGGTCTTCCCGTTTAATTCAGTTATTGGAACAGTACTTGTTGGATTATCAGAAATCGCAAGTGAGCTATATTCAGTTAGCTTGAGTTGGTTTGCAATCTGTATAAATTTCGATTCAAATCAATAAAGAATTCGATTGAATTTAAAAAATTATTTATTAAATATATCACCTTTGTACCAAGAGAAATTATGCTTTCGTTTGGATCAACTTCAAGACGAAATGTACCTTCTTTGGAACGTATGCGTACAAGCTATGAATTGAAAAAAGAGATTGAACAAAATATAAATAATATTTACATTTTAACAACTGTATAACCTACCATGACTACCATGATAAAATTATTCGTTTTGAATCACAATTCAATTTATAAAATACTTATATACATGCAACACATCCATTGCGTCACCACTTACATCAGTCTATCTTACATCATCAAAGTAAATCA